TCATAAAAAATCGGGAAAACGCACACGTGTGAGGAAAATTCGGAAAATATTTTCCGTGAAAAATTTCGCCTATCAAACAACCAAAAAAGTGAAAAGTGAAAATATTTTCCTACTTTCCCGAAAAACATGGCCTATCAAACACGGCCTTATTCTTTTACAAAAGCCTCTCCTAAACACCTAGTAAACAGTAATGCAAGTACAAAAAAAGTAAACGAATTTTTAGGCTTTGTGCGATTTTTCTTTGATTTTAGACCGTTGATTAATAATGATAGATTGATGATTGGAACAGGACAGTCCAGACTGTATCTGTTAATTGTCAACTGTTTTACAAAGATGAGTGGTGAAAGGCTGTAAGAATTATGAATGATGTGACTTGATAAAAAATTACAAAAATAATTGATGTCAGTCCTTGTTATGCATAATGCAAGACTACGAATCAATAGTACATCGTCTTCTACGTTATTTTTTACATTGTATCATGTGATAACACATCATTAAATAGTTTACATTTTTGACATTTTATTCACTCAATCAACCAACACACAATGTCAACAATCATCTCATCGAAATGCAGCACATTGCCACATTCTGAACTTGGACTTTTACTAAAGAAATTACATTAGTCACTTCTCGTTTGAAACAAGTAGCAACCGATCACAATGCTTAGCTCAAATTTTTAATCCGTCCAATATTTGACCTTCTTACGTTGACAAGAAGCTCATGTTGACAAAGTGTCGAAGCATGCCATTAGAGTTTGCAATGCAATAGTAGTTACGAATGCAAGCACCTAATACGTTGCCACACACGTTGCACTTGTAAAGCACTTCACGTATATGACAAGGTTCAATTCCCTCATTTTGCTCGTCTCGTCATCGATAAAAAATGTTTTGGGAGAGATGTACAAAAATAAAAAAAGATGTAGACGAGAACGGAGTAGGGCCAAAAAGAGGTAAAGACAACTAGACGAGGGGAAACAACAAGAGGGTACATAGCGTAAGGATAGGGTTGTCGGAATAGGAGGTGGGATTGAGAAAGGAAGTTGAGGCAATAGCATACGATATTTTGATAAAAAGAAAGTTTCCGTATTACATAATTTTAAAAAGTAAGGTTGTACTTTCATTATGTCTACAATTTAGCCCTTCTTAAACAATTTCCTCAAATATTATCAGGGCCTGTTTGATAGCATTTGTTTTTCCCAGAATTAAAAATTTATTTTCTATTTTATAGCTTTTGCCTTGTTTGATGAGAGAAATTTTCCAGGGAAATCATTTTTTCACTTTCCTTCATGCGTGTACTTTTTCCTGCTTTTTGATGAATTTCATTTCCCACATTTTAGGTGGGTTTTGGTTATCCTGTTTTTTTTTTTAATTGGAAAAAATTATAGACACAATTGTTAAAAAAAAAAATTATTACTTTTATTAACAATTTTCATACAAAACAAAGCCAAACAAATGATATTCAGTATGATAATTTTTTTTGGCAATTGAAACAAATTTTAGACCCAATGGTAAAAAAAAAAAATTATCAGTTTAATGGACAACTTTCATGAAAAATAAAGTCAAACGGATACCAAACTTTCAACATTTTTCAAATGAAAAATTATATCAATATTAAACACAATTAATTACAATTCTCGGTAAAACAAATTTTAGGCAATTCAATTCCCTATAATTCATTTTCTTTCCACTCAAATTCCACATTTGCAATCAAACGGACCCTCAGTGTAATTGAAATCGTGATGAGTACACCTTTAACATGCCGACAATATAAAGTTTCAGACAATAAATTTCAACGTGATTTGAGAATAGAAAAAAAAAAAAGAATTGTATTTGATTCATAAATTTTAAGAAAATAAATATTAACCATTCTAGATTTATATTTTGCCACTATTTAATAGAAATGAAAATCCAGACTTTAATTTAAATTAAAGTCAACAATTTATTTTAACTACACATTTTATGTAACTCATTACTTTTCAACTACACATTTAGTTTATGTTTGGTCCTCATTTTTTCAAAAACTCATTTATCAAAACTCACATTCTCTCATAAAATAATTATACATACAAACTCAAATTTTTTCTTTATTTTTTAACCACAAAATTTTCTAAAAATATTATTTCAAAATATATTTCGACCCAAAAATGGAGCTCAAACGGGGCTTATTCAATCTTTATCAAAATTTATTAAAAAAAATTATTTTAATATCACTAAATAGGGGCTTAATCTACTTCATCCATTAGGACACAATACTATTGCTAAATCTTAGCACAATATTGTCATTTCAACACCCCTATAGAAGGAATAATTTGAAGTCAAGAGAGAAATGATTGATAAATCACACTTGGCCCTAGCCCCTTATCAATGGAATTTTGCACCATCTCAAGTCCCCCCCCCCCCCCCCCCCCCCCCCACCCCCCCCCCCCCACCCCCCCCCCCCCCCCCCCCCCCCCCCCCCCCCCCATCTACAAATCCACATGATTAATGGACTAAATGTTGTTATAAATGTTTGGTATGAGGTGACATTTTAACACATTATCCATCTTCCATGTGCTACAAGAAAGTTTGGCATAGTTTGAGGATTGTTTGGGGGAAAAAACTCACTAAACGATCCGCAAATGCCAAATGGTGCAAAAAAGATAAACTAGAAATGATAAACGAGTTAAAAATAGAAAAAATAAATAAATTAAACTTGATATGACAAATTGTAGATGGTTACAAGATGAGTAAATTTTATCAATTTAGAATACCGTAGAGTGCAATATTTTCCTCACTCTTTTAACATCTCCTACAAAACACACAATGTTAATCGCTCGAGAATCAGGATCTCCCCAGCTCCTATTTGACAATCATTATTTGGAAAAAATAATATTCTAAATAATGACTTTTAGGAAAACGTGTAGTTAAAAAGTTGGTACAAGTTTTGCATTCACGTACAAAATTTTGAATATGAATATATAAAATAAAGAATTTTCAAATAATGATCACCGAACATTTGCTCTACAACAAGTGAGTTTTCCTTATTTCCCAGTCAAAAACATTCATGGCCCATCCTTATATTTATTATTATTATTATTATTATTATTCATGGCCCTCCTTGCATTTCATTGTAGCTCTCTTGATTTGGTATTAACAATCGGGAGTAGGCTTCAATCCAGGAACATGCCTAGTCATAGGTTAATGAAAATCGGTTCAACAATAACTACATACTTTTTGTTGGAGCATTTTACTAGGTCCATCTAGGGGTGGACATGGTTAGTAGTCTGTTTGGTAACAATTCTCCTTTTCTACAGTAAATCACTTCTCATTTTCAACCACACATTCTTCAATAAAATAATATTTTCCATCACATCAATACTTTTTTCTTCTTTTTCAACCACACATTTCCCATCATATCACTATTCAAAAATCAATTTTTCTCCTAAAAATCCCTACCAAACACACTCTAGATCGAGTTTTGTATCAATATAAATCCAACCCAACATGATCGAATTAATCATAATTTAATCAAATTCAACCCGTGTAAATGTTGAAATCCAACTCAACCCAACTCAATCAAGTATCGGTCGGGTTGAGTTGGTTAGTTTGGGACAACTTGTTAATAAAGACTAAAGTAGACGGGTGGGGTTGGACGGATTTATAATTGACTCGTGACTTATATAATATTAGATCTCTATAGTTGCAATGAACAAAAAATCTGAATTATTTTGGCACTTCATGTTTGGAAATGTTACACGAGCATATTAATATTAAATTATATGAAGCCAAGAAATGTTTTTGTGTGAATGTGTATTTGCTTATACTATTTTTCGTAAAATGCATTATATCCAAATCTTATAATATAATGTTACACGAGCATATTAATATTAAATTTTATGAAGCCAAGAAATGTTTTTGTGTGAATGTGTATTTGCTTATACTATTTTTCGGAAAATGCATTAAATCCAAATCTTATAATATTTTATTAAGAGTTTTCAATCAACATCATAACACTTGTAAAGTTTATAAATATTGTTAGGTTTGGTTGGACGAGTTTATTCGGTTTTCATGAATTAACCCATAACCCGACCCAACCCGTGTAAAAACAATAAAAAAAGGACCCAAACCGGTCTTGTTGATTCGGTTTCTGTGGCTTTGACGGTTCGATCGGGTTTTGCCCACCCTTAGGTCCAATCGACATGATTTTTGAAAAAAAAAAAAAAAAGCCAAAATGAGCTTTCGAGATTCAAAAAAGCTTTTGGACCCGTCTTATAATTTTATAAAAGTATTTTTTCTAGTTAGAAGAGTTTTTAGAGAAATCTGGTTCAACGTGACTTTTTCTAAAATCACTTTTGGAATAGAAAGTGTTTTTAAAATGTAGATTCTAAACAAAAATTAAGATAACTTATTCCAAAAACTCTCGTACACAAAATAAAAGTAAAAGTAAAAATCATATCTTACCAAACAGAGTCTAAATAAATAGACTTCCTAACCTCATGCTCTAGTGGTTCAGAGACTTCTGGGGTCCCTCCCTGGACGTTGTCTCTCTAGCATAGATCCACTTATTATTAATAATTTATCGTTTAATATTTAAACTCGGTTAAATTTGAACAAAAGTCGATTGAATTTTTTTAATATATCTTTCCACTTAAAAGTGTGAAAAGGGAAGATATAATTGATTTTAACTTATAAGCTGTAATTAATTAATTAATTAATTTTGTAGTGGAAATAATAATAAAAATTAAAGAGAGGAATGTGACTTTAGGGCTTCCAAACATTACAAAACCTACAAGAAGAAACACACGCTTTCCATCTCTCTCACACAAACACTTTTTTACATTCTGTATTCTCTTTCCAATAATCACAATACTCAAACCTCCCATCTCTAATGCGAGAGGTTGGCAGGAACCCACCTCATTTTAGATAGAGAAGGTCGATAGTTCAGATTTCAGAGTGTTCGATGATGAGAGAGAAAGGTCGGTACCAAATACACAAGAAAAGATAGTGTTTTTGTGTAGGGGTCCGTCGTTTGTGTGTTATTGCCTCCTATCTCTCTTTCTCTCTCTGCTGTGATTCTGCCATAACCACCTCTGGCAGGGATGGTCACAAGTCCTTCTCTCAATGAAACTTTTTTCATCAAAAAAGCCAAAGAGACAGTACCAGTAAGTAGCAGTGATATGGAGTAGAAGCTCAATAGTCTGGCCCCTCTTTCAATCGCTCTCTGTCTCAGAATTTAACAGAAGTAATTGTGTATTTGTATAAAAGTCATACCCTTTGTTCAAGACTTCCGTTTCTCCTTTCTCTCTGTGGGTTCTGTATCTGTCGTTGAAAATCTTCTTCTGCTGGAAGAATTACAGAGACCCCACCTTTTCCTAAATTTTTCAAGATTTAGAAAGAGTTCCTCTTGTGCTTGACAGAGACATGAATTTTGCATCTGCGTATGTGTTGATTGTGTAATATTGTCAGTATTTTGAGTAGGACTATAAGAATTTGCAGCTGTGGCTACTACTAGGAGGCTACAGTCAGATTCTGGGGCCTTTGCGGACTGGGTGGCTTCATCTTCGTCCTCCGCCGGGGACCTTTCTTTGGGATTCAATGCCGGACCCACCGCCGGTGGTAACACCAGCAACACCGGAGCCGGTGCCGGTGGAGGAATGTGGCCCTCATCTGCTACCACAAGGCATGTTAACTACGGCCTACCTCCGGAATTCTTCGTGGTTGCGCCCGCTTCTTTCCATCATAATACTCAGCACCACAACCACCACCCGGAGGCTGCCACTGCCACCACCATCAACTTCGATCCTCATGGCATTAATGCATCTAACGCGGCGGCTGCCATAGGCGTTGGCGTGATTCCTCTCCTCACGGCGGCCCCTTGTCTAAATATGGGTCCTACAGATGAGGACTTGTCGAGTAATACACGAAATCGTAGTGGAAGTGGGATGCAACTGTGGCAAAATCAGCAGGTACAAAACACTTCAGCTTATTCGAAAAAACACATGATTCAGGATCATAATATTCTACTTCAGGCCGGTAGAGGAGGTAGTAGCAGCGGTGGAGGCGATGGAATTGGCGGTTCTTCGTCCGGAGCAACCACATGTCAAGACTGTGGAAATCAAGCTAAAAAAGATTGTAACCGGCAAAGGTGTAGGACTTGTTGTAGAAGTAGAGGTTATGACTGTGCTACACATTTGAAAAGCACTTGGGTTCCCGCTGCACGCCGCCGCGAACGGTTAGCTATGGCCGCTACTGCCGCCACTGCAGGCTCTTCTCAGTCCACCTCCGGTGCCAAAAAACCTCGACTCGGCACTTCTTTAACTACTACTGCTTCTCATACTTCAACTTCTAACAACACCCCTCCTAGAAGCTTTGATACCAGTTCTAGCCACCAAGGTATCATCTTTTTTCAAATCGTTTTACACTCTGCACAAACATTTTCTTTAAAATTGAGAATTATTAATATCCATACAGGTGCAAGTTTTAAAGAGCCATTTCCAGGCCAAGTTCGAGCGCCAGCAGTGTTCAAGTGTGTTAAAGTGACTGCAGTTGATGATGGCGACGATGAATTTGCATACCAAGCTGTAACGAGAATTGGAGGCCACGTTTTCAAAGGATTTTTATATGATCAAGGGATCGAATCAAGAGATGGGTTTCCCAACATATCGGACTTGCATTTAGGTGGTAGCAGTGGCGGCGGCGAGGGAAGACACGGGGCTTCCTCTTCATCCCCAGTTCTTGATGCATCTGATGTTTACGCTTCCGGGGGCGGATTACTCGGAGGATCAAATTATGGCATTCCAATAAATTGATTCTCTTAAAGCAGTGGATGCAAAGACTCAAAGAAGAAATTCCACTGTATTCTAATCATTTTATCACTTTTACTAATAGGTTCTTGATTATTCTTCTTGTAGACTTCTTAATTGTAAACACCTTTCTTCCACTTTCGGTTTCAGTTCTAGCCTCTAGCCTGTTTGCCTTAATTATTCTTCAAGAGTAATAATCATTTGCCAAAAAAAGATGATTTCTTTAGATTTAGATATTCTCTCTATATTTTATCTTTCGTATGCAGTTGTGTGCACTGGCTTCTGGGCCTATTCGCAGAAAAATCCAGTTCTGAAAAATTCTTGTTTGAAAAAACAACTGTTGGTACATTATATTTTCGCCGTTAAATGAAACTGTCTCAAGGAACTGTATTCTTCATAATCTGTCTATTTTTATATGCATTGTTCCTTAAATAATTACTGTTTTTATTGCATTAGAATCTTACATTGCTGAATAAGGATGAGCACTTGGTGGATATTTTTCTTGGATCTCGTCTGTGCTTGTTAACGCAAGCCTTTTATCGTATCGTAACTTTTGAATTGTTGCATTCGCAGTCTACAGCTTAAATGCTTCTGTAGATCGGATTTAAGCATTTTTTACTTCAACATTCTTTGTCTTGTGCCGTTATTTGGAAACTTCTATACTGAAAATTTTACCCTAAAACTTTTTCGAGAAAATCTGGTGGCTTTTGATTGCTTGTTAACTCGGATCTTTACTTAGAAACATTCTTGAATTTGAGTTATTTCACCATTGTTAGCTTATAATTCAAATGTTTTTATAAGTTCCCTCAGTCTTGTATGTGTTTATTTTGAATTTGGAGGACAGTTCAGTGCTCTAATTAATCTGCATTGTTGACTATCATGGATTGAATAATATTGTAATATTTTGTACTTGCATATAATTTTAATTTCCTAACGGCGCAATTGACTTTTCTGCCATTGCCATTGATCCTGTGCTGTCTGCTTTTGGAGGTCTAATAATCTGATTAATGTTACTTCTTTCCATTTGTATGATATAAGATGCATTATCTCCTGATTTGCAAACGCTTAAACATGCCACATACCCTTGTTTAGATTGTTCTTGTTTGTCTTTCGGCATAAGATGCTACACTTTTGTGTTAAATTTTTAAATATTTTTCAAGTTTCTGGTAGACTTTAGCATTACAATGTCGATACATATGTGTAGTTATTTGTGCATCACTTCATTGTACGTGCAGATGTGATCTAATATTTCAGGATCCGGCTATTGTAGTAGCGAGTGTTTTGCTTATAGTTTATGGCCTAATCCAGTGTTAGCTGGACACGATTTCTTTTGGATACGCATTCACGAGATACTGGAGAAACATGAACAGTTGCGTTATCACGAGGTTTGGTAACCTCTTGAACTTGCCCCGATTTCTTGTCTTCTGTTGTTTTCCGAATACACATTGAGTAGTTTGCTTATCTCTATTTTAGTGAGTATATCGCGGTACTGTATGCTTGTTCGTATTTTGGAATTTGTCGTCTGTTCGAAACAATTTCTTGATCGCTAATACCTTTTACATGTTTATAACTTTGGTTATAATCTGTTTGAACTTTTTGTGCATTACCTTTTACTTGTTTAACATCGGTATTGTTTTTGCAAAATTGGTACAATTTGTTTTTCTTTCTGAGCACGCGTTCTTGGTTTTGGGCGTTGCAATCTGGATCACGAGATTTTAGTAATCGTCACTTTAGTTTATAAATAGGGAACACTGCTGGAGATGGATTTACTTTTGATGAGTTCTCTTTCATTCACAACTGTAGAAACATTTGTTTCGAAAATTATTTTTATGCATGTATTGTTCGTGTAAAGCCCGATTCCATTGCTTAATCTGGTGTGTTACGGATCATTTTAAGCATCATTTTCCTGGTCTGATGTTCAGAAATAACCTCTTAGAAAACTTTAGCAGCAACTGGTACTTAATCTGTGCGTTTTCTTTATGCAATTCTGATTTTGTCTGATGTTTATTCCTATTAATTGCTGACATTGTGTTGGCATTTATTCGTATTACGTAAGATTTTATGTGCACGGTTTTGTTGTGTTTATTGGCAAGGGTTTGCATGAAATGAGTCCACTTGTACATAGAAACTCTACAGGAGAGTTTAATTTCTTTCCTCCTTCGCTCCATGATGATAAATAGCATTACTCATTTATAAGTTATCAACAATTTTTTAGGTGTCGCCTTACCGTGATGACTTCCTTATTGGGGCTGACCTGATGGAACCGGCCAATGCGAGTATGAATAGTGGGGTTGTTCAGGATACTCATGCTATCAATGTTGTATAGTTGTCAAGGGATAAAATTTCACATTGAACAAAGATAAAAATATTGATAAATTTATAAGGACTCGAGCCCATTAAACTCTAACGAGTAATTTGATTTGATTAAAATTCAAAAAATGAGCACGAAGATTACTAGATTGATTTGCTCAAACGAGTCACCATATTGTGATGACATGTTAAGAGATAAATTTCGTATTGAATAAAGATGAAAATATAGATCAACATATATACTCCTCTTAATAATGTTGTTATTTTAAGATAGAATTCCAATTCTATTCTTGAATGTGGAGATCACTTCTCAAAGTCGAAGGAACACGAGGCTAGATTGACTAGCCACTGTGGTTTACCTTCAGCAAATATCCAATCTAGTAGTTAGAAACCAAGAAGCAGTAGTCTCGATTTGATACGGGATTGGCGACTGGAATTGAACAAACTGGGGGAGGAATCCTTAAAACGTTACAGCAGCCAGCAGTACTGAAGAATAAATCTCTCTCTCCAAGTAGTGTTATTTCTGTCAATTAGTTTTACAACAATTGTACAAGCCCGATCCATATATCTAACCGATGTCTTGGCCCATCTAACAAAAGAAAAACAGTATTTGAATAGTACTTTTTGAGTCTTTGGACCTTTTTGGTAACTGTTTATCAACAAATTATGCTCTATTTCTTAGTTTATTTTAGTATTTAATCAAGTGGTACTTACACAAAATCATACTTTAAGTATTAAACTTTCTAAAATCAGATTG